ACACTGCATCAAAGGAGAATCGCGTATGATAATTGATACACGAACCCTAGCAATTTTAAAGTAAGAAATAACCTAGCGGCGATGGTGGCCTTTTGGAGGAAGAAACAAACTCTGAATCGCTCTCGAGAAGAAGAAAACAATAATAATTAGAAGTGTCTTTAGAGTTTGAAAGGATATTTAATGACCGTTGTATTGTACTATGTAATTAATATTTTTATTGGGCTTAAATGTTTTTTTTTTTATTTGCTGTGGAGATAAAGATTTTGATGGTGATGGAATTTGTATCATGGCATGTGGCATTTGGAAACTTTCGAGTAAGAAGATGGGAGCAAGTTTGATATATGATCAAGAGATGAGTATATTTGACCATCTTGAGGTGCTACAAATCTCTCGAAAGAAGTAATCATGTTTCTTGGACAGTCAAAATGTTTCTGTAACATATGAATTGATCATCTATCTTACGCTCTCTACTTGACACTAAGTGTTGTTACCTTTGAAGCCTCTGCCAAGATTCAGGATTCAATTTGGCTTGCCGTTGGTCTTTGCAGGTTCATGTACTTCAGTCACTCTTTGGGACAAGTAGAACTAGTGATAGGAGATGAGATGCTGTCCAATTTGGAGATATGAGGTGGTTGCAAAGGCTGTAATCACTCCATCAACACCGCTTCTTGGTCAAAGCTCACAGATCGCTGAATTTATCATTATACTCTTTCTTGTAGTGCACATAAAAGGCTCCTTTTGCATCATTTTCCGTCCAAGGCACTTCTGAACAACCAGAAATAAAGCTTCATTGCGACATTGACTGTTCATGATGCTTATTATTACCGTCGAAAATCATGTAGCATTATTACAAAAAACAAAAAAGATGCAGCTACCACTAGTCCAAACCGGAGGAACATTTGGTCACTGTAATCTTTAGATGCGGAGCTCTGACTCGGTAAGTGCTATTCTGCATCGCCTTACGTTAACCATAGGCCACAGCCATTCGCTTCCTCGCATCACGGGCCTAGAGTTCAAATATGTATACAATTGAATATCTCTTATGTTTATTTCACTATAGAAACAAGTAATGAAGATGGACAAGAAGACAAGGAAAAAGGACCTGCTGTTCCCAGTTTGTGCAGACCGTGACAACACCGAGCAGAAGAGTTTGCAGAACGGCACCTGCTATTATANNNGTCCAAAGGCCAACACCTCCCAGATGAACCCAGAAGGCTAAAGNTGCTGCAATTGGTATCCCCCAGAGATAGAAAGCTCCTAAATTGATGTAAGCCCCTATATGTTGCCATCCACATCCTCTTGCAATACCTGCAAACCATTAAACAACAGTTAGACACAACAGGTATAGACATGAAGACATGATATGTGTTGCAACAACAATAGCTTGTGTGTTTGAGTAAAGAAATAGGAACAAGTCTCGGACCTGACAAAACTCCTTGTAAACTGTCCAGTAAGAGAGAAATAGAGACCAATGGAGCCATCTTTGCAACATAGTCGACGGTTTCCTTGTCACTGCTGAAAATGAGGCCGAAAACATTCCTGCCGACTAATAGAGACGTACTCACTATCAATCCATCCATTACTGCAAGAGACATTACCGCGTAGACCATGATATGTGCTGCTCCAGAGTTTCCAGCGCCTAATTCATTTGAGATTCTTGTGCTGCACAAGAAAACACACGCTTGTGANCATGAAACCATGAATAAGAATATGATTCAACTCTTAGGTGCTGCGTAGATGGTGACTAGAGCTCTTACCTTGCTGCAGCACTGATCGCAAGTGGTATTGAATAGAATGTTGAGACTGTTTGGAGACTGCGCATAGTTCGAATAACATTACGTTTTGGCAAATTCAAGATCATGACAAGAAATCAAAATGCAGATATTGCAAGAGGGAGTACCAGACAGAGAGCACAGAAGTCTCGAGTTCGGGGTTGGGTAAGAGACCAGAGAGTAATACTATAAATTCATAAGACCACCACTCTAGGCTGCAACAGTACCATAAAAGAGTTTTCAACAACAANAACAAAAATGGGAGAGAGGCATTGAGAAGTGAAAAAAGGCAGAGAGAAAAGTGCAGTTACCAAATCATAGCCGCGGAAGGAAGAGCGTACCTAAAGAACTGTCGAACTCCATCGAATATCTCCATGGAGAGAGGCGCGCATGTCTCAGAACAAGCAGAGGAGAACAACATGAAAGAACCAAGAAGAATAGCATAGCATAGAGCCAGTTTGACAAACTAAGAGCCAATGCTCCTCCAATATAACCAAGCCCTGACTTGTAAACCAAAAGCCAAGAGAGAGGAAAATGGAGACAGAAAACAAAAGAAGAGATCATGAGTAGAGGTCTAAGCAGTAACGAGTGAGTGGCATTATAATAGCGTAAGAGAAGAGTCCAGGGATGAGCCAAGAAGCATAATTCCCGGCTCTGTACGCAACAAAAACCAAGTAAAATCGAAGAACCTTATTAAGAAAGAAATTGGATTAGCGTAACCAACAATTAAATCAAAACTTTAAAGAAAAAACACAAATCACAAGTGAAAAAAAAAATCAACCTACCGGCGGCGATGGTGGCCTTTTGGAGAAAGAAACTCTGAATCGCTCAGAAATCAGGAGCGAGAGAAGAAAACAATAATTAGGAAATTAATCGCAGGACCGTTGTGAAAGTATGTGTCGGTCTCATTAAATTATTGTTGGGCTTAAATGAAAATTATCAAGCCCAAACATTTCCTTTTTTGTTTTGTTTTTAATTAAAAAAACAAATTCTTTTATGAGTTTCTGGATCCCTGATGATCAAGATATGAGCATGTTTGACTATCTTGAGGTGCTGAAAGAAAGCTGATCTCTTTGTTTTAAGTCCACTCTTTGTCTTTCTTGGTCAGAGAGATGGTTTATGGGGCCAATACCTTAGGTTCCTCGGTATTGCCTTCTCCTACAGCTTTGAGTTTCATGGTTGTTGTACCATCTCTCTGTTGCTCTTTGCAGGTTCTAGTAACCCACTTACTCTTTTGGAACAAGTAGAACTAGTGACATGAGATGAAATTAGAGATATCTGGTGCTTGGGTCCATCAACAGCTTCTTGGGAGGTCAAGCTAACGGGTCGCTGAATTGATCGTTACTCATTCTTGTAATGTAATGAACACAGAATAGGCTCCTTTTGCATTTCTGAACACCGAGAGAAATAAAGCGAAAATGTTACAGGCGAAGAAGAAGAATATATAATTTGTAACAAACGATTTTCCTAACGGAATCTGGGTTGTGTCCTTCGGTGGCTTTTCGTAGCTTTGAGATCTCGTTGATGTTGGGTTTGTCTTCTCAGTGAGTAGGTGGATCTGCTTTGATCTATGTGGTTCGGCAGTGAGTGGTGGCTTCTTCTTCGGATGTCGTGGGTCCGAGTTTTCCCGGCGACTGAGCCTCCATGAGACCAATCCTACCTCTTTCGTTGTTCTTGCATGTGTCTCAAAGGTAAAGCCTCTCTCGTTTCTTCGATCTTTCACCTTCAAGCTCACCTCTGGTTTGGGTTCTTTGCTCTGTTTCGGGCTCGATCGGCTCGTTTTTCTCTTAGTCCTTTGCGCTTGGTGATGGATTGTAGTATCTCCCATGTTTGTCTGGATAGTTCTTGTGTCGTTGTCCCGTCTCTCCTTTCGTGTAGGTTCTCGGCAGGGCCTGCTCGGTTTGGATTGTTGAGTGAGATACGAGATCCTCCGTCACTTGCCGTCAGTCTAGCCAGGGGAGTTGTCTTACCTGTTCGCCGTCTAAGCCGGTGCTCACCGGAGTTTCAGCCCCTTTGCC